CCTCCACACCCATTTAGAACAGCGGCGAGAGTGACACCAGGCTTAATAGTGGTTTGTGTAGGCAGGGTTCTTTGGAGCATAGGATTGGGGAGGCGATCTTGGAGAATAACAAATCATTATATTAGACCTGTGGCCAATAATGTTGCAAAATGTTTGTTTATTGGGTAAAACTATGTAAAGCATATGCGATTATACAGTATATATTGTTTGTGTCACAGTATTTAAAGCATGAATCCTTCCTGATTTTATATGTATTAAGTGTTTCTTGTAATTACAGTGGATTTATCCCCATTGTAGTTTCATAATCTTGCATTTGTTGGGTTGGTATTTTATGTCTTGGACAGTTAATTAGGCTTTTCCAGTTAATGTGTCAGACACTCTGTTTTCCTGTTTTACTCCGAGGACATTACACAAGTTACAGTCTTTGGATACCAATCAAGTCCCTACATGCATTGTGTGTCAACATTGCTTAGGGTGCTGTGAGCAGATATGCAGGACTTCTAATGTCCACATAAGTTCCATAACATGCACATGGCTCTCAACATTTTTATTTTTTTTAATTCGTTTTTGTCTTTTTTGTTTTTGTAACTTGGTTACTATGGTTTTTGATGGGAAATGTTTTGCTGACATTCATCTTACATAAGTCTACATCAAGTTATTTATTTTTGTACATTTTTTTCCCTTCAGATTGAGTTGAAAGTGACAGATGAGAATTCGGGACTTCTGAGGCGACCAAAACCCTGTGGAAAAGTCAGCTACTGTCTTTTCTACTATTGTTTGTTCTTTAATGTCACAGGGAGTGGGGATTTTACTAACACCCTAGCATGCTTATTCCAACCTCTTTCTAACACCTACTGAACTGTGTGTATACTTTTAATTGGCTATCGATGGAAGTATGATTGCCAATAATGACTGTTGTTAAATGTTCTTAACATGTAAATTGTACCACAGGTTGTCAATGACACGGTCCTTTTCGGTTTATTATCAAAGAGCAATGATGGTGTCTAATAATGAATCGGAAATTAGTCGTCGAGAATTATTTCTGATGGATGTATGTGGATTTGCTGCATCTGTGAACACAGATGTTGATGCTCATGGATGCTGTGCTCTGTATGAAATGCCACTCCTGAAGTTTCTGTACAAAGTAAATTTGTGGTGCATCTAGTGCAGAGAACAGTGTCACTGGTACTGTAAATGATGAATGTTTGATACAGTATTGCTTCATTTTTTTTTTTTGGGCTATAAGGGAAAAGTCAGAAAATGTGAGGTTAAAGTAGAACCCCAGCCACTACTTCTATATTATAATATAATTCTATTTTGCCAGAGCCCGACGAGTAGCTTCCCGGCCGGCCTTTCTTTGTAATTGAACGGCTGGCCGGGAGCTTTACATTCAAGCCATCGTGCGTCTCTAGAGACGCCCGATTGCGTGTATCAGCAGCAGCTGTCACTGCCGGTCCTGAGATCCCCTGTGCCCGGGACCGGCATGGCTGCTCTGTGACAGGGGATCAAAGGGAGATCGGTAAACGATCTCCCTCTGATCTCCTCTCTCCTGTATATTACATCACTTCCACATTCAGCTGTCATTCCCAGCTACAGAAGCTGGTGAAGCAGATCTCTGCTTCATCAGCACCTCTGGGGGTCCCTAGGTGACATTAGGGGTCCATAAAGAGAACCAGTCTTGTAAATTGGCTATCGCATAGGAAGCTTCTTAGCCCCCCATGTGATAGCAATAAAGTTGTGTTAAAAAAAAAAAAAGTAATACAAAAATGAAAGCATAAAAAATACTTTTTTTTTTCTTTTTTTTAAAGTTCCCCGCCCCCCACATACACATGTAGACATGCGTCGGGTGCGCCTATGTGCGGAAGCAACAATTGCGCCTATTGTGCCACACATATTACATATCACCGCGAACGTCGGAGTGAGAGTAATAATTATAGGGCCATTAATCACTGATCACTAAACTGGTGAGCAATAAAAGCGTTTAAAGCGTCGCCCATGGCCAATTTTCGGTGTGGTTGTTTTTTGCAATTTTGCAAGCACACGCAATTTTTTTTGACTTGACATGTTTGGTGTCTATTTACCCGACGTAATTACCCGAGGTATTGGATGGCAATGTGCCATTAAAATGGATTATTGATTTACAAAAACGGTGTGCTGGTGACATTATTCTTCTTTTCTGTGATTTACACGGTGCCTTCCGTGGTCACTACAAGCACCCGGTAAGGAGTGCAGCAAGACATCCTGTTTCTAGTATTTACCCGACGTGACCCCGTCTTTTATATTTTACCAAAAATATGGGTAAGAATAAATGTTTTATAACAACATAGGGGAAACTTTTTTTTTTAAATTTACATTACTTTTTCCATCGTATAGTAGAA